TGCTTTTTTTTTTTTTTTTTTTTTTTTTTTTACGCTGCCTCAGACAACCACGAAGAAATCAATAATTAAGTCAAGCAAAAGCATCGGAAAGACGATTAAAGAGTCCAGCGAGACAATGAAAGCATGATTCGACACTCCTCTCTCTTTGTTTTGAGGTTCCTCTCACCTCCGACCGTGCAGGCTCCCAGCAGGTTGACGATGTTCATGTGGTTGCCGAGGTAACTGAGAACCTTCAGCTCCGACATCAGCGCCTCCTTCTCCGTGGCGTGAGCGTTGTCTGCGATGACATCGTCATGGGAGACGTTTGAGGGCTCATGTTGCGTTTCACAGGCCAAGGTAGGAAAAAAAAAAAAAAGACACTTACGTTTGAGCATCTTGACGGCGACAGTCGTGACTGTGTCAGCTGAGTTCAGGCCATACGCCGTGGCCCTCACCACCTTTCCAAAAGCTCCAGAACCCAGAGTTTTACCTGTGTGTTCACGCAGATGAACTTTGAACACATTCAAGCTCTTACACAAATTTGAGAAAGCATCAACGCATATGTTAACTTTCATACCAAAGCGTAGCTTCTGCCGAGGAAACTCCCATTTGGAGTCGTAGGGAAGCTGGGTGGGGTCAAAGTAAATGTAGTTGTTGCCGTGGATACTCTCGATGACTTTCCACTGGATTTGGAATTTAGGTTTCTGTTTTAGTGGGGAGAGGAAGAGATGTGGATCGATATATCCAAAAGAGATCCGAAAAATGAAAACTATGGTGCTGATCCAAATTCTATAGTCAAGCTTGAGGTCTGCGCTTTACTATGCCGTTGCAGTTCTCGAAAAATCTGATGATCATTATTTTTTATATACAAATCATGTGTTCGATTTCTTTATATTGTGCAGGTGTACCTAATGATGTATCCAGTAATTGTATGTTTGTTCGGTCTCCCATTATTGCTACTCCGTATGCGCCAACTTGCTCTGTATGCACTTTAAATGTCACGTCCCGTATTCGACAGCAGGTGGCAGGCACTCACTCTGCCACCTGCACACCTGTTGCGCATTTGTTTGTGATTACACCTGCTTTATGTAGGCGCTCCGGCTGTCAACTCATTGCCGGAGTATTGCTTGCCGTGCCATTGCTATTGCCCATACACGCATTTGTATTTCGTATTTCGTACCCTATTGCTGTTTCGCTGCTACTTCGTCATCCCAGTGGGATTATCTTTAACACATAGTGCTCCGCGTAAATTGTCTTATCTTTTCCTTGCCGTTTTTTGCAAGCGCTTTCTTTTCTCACTTAACATTATTTCCTGGTTCTCGTTTTGACCAGCGTTTTCCGTTGTCCTTTAAGACGGTATTTTTTCGTTTGTAATAAATACTGGATTTGGAATTTAGGTTTCTGTTTTAGTGGGGAGAGGAAGAGATGTGGATCGATATATACAAAAGAGATCCGAAAAATGAAAACTATGGTGCTGATCCAAATTCTATAGTCAAGCTTGAGGTCTGCGCTTTACTATGCCGTTGCAGTTCTCGAAAAATCTGATGATCATTATTTTTTATATACAAATCATGTGTTCGATTTCTTTATATTGTGCAGGTGTACCTAATGATGTATCCAGTAATTGTATGTTTGTTCGGTCTCCCATTATTGCTACGCCGTATGCACCAACTTGCTCTCTATGCACTTTAAATGCTGATCTAAGCCAATTATCTTGGAGCCTGAGTCACTGCACTGGAATAAGAGCAAGATGTCACGTTGCGTCAGACGTATGTCGATTGAATCTCTCTAATGGCTGACTGAGTCGTTTCATTTTCATTAAAACACATTCATATTTTCCCCCCATGTAAAATGATGGGAAATGAGGCATGACTCATCAGGGGATGAGCGCAGTTCCTTTTGCAAGTCATTTATAATGCAATTTATATTTTGTGACGAAACATGACTCATCAAAACCATTCAATATGATATGTAAGGGCATTCCATTTCATGTGTATGACGGACAGGTGCCCAGGCCGCTGACGAATGACGGACTGAGATGTATTTGAGTGTATGTGTCCATAAAGCTTTTTTTTACTGATGGACGCGATGATGGAAGTCCGGTTAAATTAGCATGACAGAACGACTGCCGATTACACTTTGGTTTGGCATGAAATATTGACAGACTGACAATAACGGACGGGTGCCCAAACCGCTGACGAATGACGAACGATGGACCGTCAAAATGTTTTTAATTGGCCTCCTCTGCTAAATGAAATCATGACGTTGCATTTTGGGGTGTATTTCCTCTCTTACCTGCATGTACTTATAGAGCAGCACCACCAGGATGAGGCAGAGGAAAGCGCCAGTGGCCACCATGCCAGTTAGAAGTGGAGTGAACAGTTTATGCGGGATGAGTCGCTCTGTTCAGGAACAAAGCCATAATCAGGAGTTAGACACACATCTTTTCACACAACACATGGCCTCCCGTGCGCGCACACACACACACACACACACACACACACACACACACACACACACACACACACACACACACACACACATGAGGGTCAAAGGGTTTGTTTGTGTAGATCCTTGTGGAGGGGTTTGGGAGGAAAAACATCCACACAGCCATCTGCAAGTGGGTTTTGTGTGTGTCTGTGTGTGTGTGTGTGTGTGTGTGTGTGTGTGTGTGTGTGTGTGTGTGTGTGTGTGTGTGTGTGGAGGGGGCGGTGGTGGTGGGGGGGGGGTTATAGATATTAATGATACCGCTGATGGAGAAGAGCGTATAAGCTTCCTCCCGCTCTGTAGATGCCACACACTCCAGCGTATGATAGTTGCCATACTCCTTGCTGATGTTCAGTCGGCTCTCCACCTCACTCCTACTAAAGGTGGACTCTGTCACCATGGCAACATCCGCAGTATCCCATTGGGTGGCATTGGGTAGGTGTGAGCACCTGAGAAGAGGTCATACCTGTATATTGCTCCACTTACGGCTATATGGCAAATCATGATCGTTTGTGCATTTGACAGGTTGTAGGTGAGACTTGTAACATTTTTCATAAGAATAAGAATACCTTTATTCATCTCAAAATGGGGAAATTCCCAATTTTAATTTTATTTCCAGAATTTGCTATGGGATCAGTAAACTTCTCAACCTAACTTACTCTTCCAAACCTAAATTAATTGCATATTTTAAATGATCTTTTTTTTTTTTTTTTTTAATTCATGGACTTAAACTACTTCAGAAAACTGAACCAAGAAGTTAGTTTTATAGAACTAAACTTTCTTGGTACTTGACTAATATTGTTAGCCTTACAAATCTTAGCTAGCCTTTGTTAGCCTTAATTTGTTAGCGTTGCGTCCGACATAACAACTACGTCATGAGCTTTTGGTATGATCTGCTTAATTTTAAGAAGCAGTTGGTTGGCTCTCACCAAGTTTCATTTTTGTTACATTTTCAGGAGGTAAAACATCGATTCAGAAGACTATAAAGAAGTAGGCTAAGATTGTTGTGTTTCGGCAGAATACGACATTCTTATACTGAATGAATAGAAAATATCGGTGCGGTTAGTTAATAGCGGGGCAAGTGATGTAATACCTTGTGTGAGGAATGTCACAGATGTACCAGCTGATTTTTGGAACTGGGTGACCGGCGGCAACACACCGCACCTGACCATCGACTGGCCCTTCCTGGGCGATGATGACAGGCTTACCTTGTGAATAGAGATCATAATCAGATGCTTAAACCCTTAGGAACAGTGTTAATGTAGAAAAATTGACTTACTATTGACATATACGTGAAATAGATGGTCGACGGATGCGTCTTGATGACTGGCTGAGAATTTATAGACGCCACCCTCCGAGCCAAGGACCCTTACCAATTTTAGCTCGCTAATGAACCTAAATGCAAAGTCACATGAAATGTATTATGGCGTGCGGGTCAGTGCTCTTTACCCCGAAATCGACCGACGTGTTACAAATGTTACCTGTATTTGTGTTGGTGGATAGTGATAACGTGTTCTGTGGTGTTGAGCAGTTGTTTGTCGTTGTAAGACCAAGACAGAAGGTCGGGTGATGGATAGGCCTCTAAATCAACTCTGAGATTCAGGCTCTCCCCCTCGCGGACGCCGGCCTGGATGGGACTTGGGCGGCTTAACATGGTAATGAAACCCCTTTCTGCACAACACACAGTACAAACACAGAGTTGTTCATTTAGCAACAAGACTTGCATACTTGGTTTGCTGTGTGAATGCTGAGAGAGGGGGCAAGTAGGTACATTGCGGTTGCAAAGAGTCCAATCAAATGACTCAGATTTAATTCCTGCTCTGTTTGCAGCATCCATAGGGAGCATATTTGCATAGTACGTGGTGATGGCTAATCTAGGTTATTAATTTATTTTGATGAACTAAATAAGAAAGCAGTTCAATTATTTGATTCCATTTTCAATGTGACTCTTGACTTCAGACGTTTGAGTCCAGTTAGTGGCGTATAAGAAAACCTGCTCTCGCTGTATTTGGGAGACGTTTTTTTTTTTTTTTTTTTTTAGTGTTTGTTCTGTCAAGGCACCACCTTACCATGGTCTTGTCAACAAGTCAGGTCCTAACATGTCCACAGACCCAGAAGATGTTATGGGTACACTTTAAGAATCTTTGAAGTGTAGGCTGGGGAAGTTGCTTCGGGGCGATGATTTGAATAGCTTGCAAATGAAGGAGAACTTTTAAGCCATTAGGTTTTGTTTAACTTTGCCGGTAAGAAATCTACAGTCTACAAATACAGTTTGGAATCCGTGGAGAAAAAGTGTTGGCTGGTGCACAATTCAGGAAAGATCAAATGGATGAGATCATATGGATAGCTGTTTTAACAGCTCCTTGAGCACGGTGACATTAACCTTTCTATAGGGTTGCTGAAGAGGGCAAGTTGCTTCAGTACGGTTTCAAGGTTCCATTCTGTACAGTATAGTATGATGTATCGTATCCATCACGGTTTTATTGGCTGATCCATAACTAGATCCAATGATGTCACGCCATCTTGGTAGACACACTGTACTTTATAAGTACGTGAATGCTTACCGCGGACATCCAGGTGGAGTGCTGTGGAGCTTCCACCTCTCTCGTTGTGGGCCGAGCAGCGATACGTCCCCGAGTCTGTTCGCTTCACAGAGCCTATCGAGAGCCGGGAGGCCCGTCGATAACCTCGTGAGCCGGGTAGGATGTGTGAGGTGTGGGCTTCATTTGGATGCTGCAGGCAGTAAACCACGACAAAGTTAAGTGTTGCTTCGTCTTCCACTCACATTTACCGTCATACTACTGGAAACGAGAAGTACTAGAAACTACACACAAATTCATCTCTTGCTAAGGATTCATCTCGCTCAAATTGTTTTACCAAATATTGACACCCCGCCCGCCCCTCTACAGAACTTTGATCGAAATTGACCTTTGGGTAATCCATTAAATTTGTTGAAGACTTGGTGCCTGACCTAATGAGATTCCCTTTGGGCGTTCCTGACTTGTTACATTATATGAGAATGTGATGGATGTGACCTTTTATCATCAAAATTGAATCACTCTCTTGACATTGAATGATTTGAATGATGCCTCGAGTCATTTTGAAGAAACTCAGAAAGCCTTCTTTGGCTTTCAGGACACGAATATGGAACCAAGGGACAGAGGAAATAGATGCTATGTGGTAGGACGTTTTTGGGGGTTGTCCAATATTTCCAAGATATAAAATGATAAGATGATATAAAACTCACCGCCGTTGATGGATAGTCCCACTTGACATTAAAGTCCGGGTTGACATTGGAGGAGCTACAAGTAAGCTCAAACTTCTCTCCCTTTCGCAAGATAACCTTGTCCCTTTGGGACAATGTGATGACGGGAAGCACCTCCGGAACTGCAGAAAGAAAAACGTTATTGGGTTTCCTAGGACCTTTTTTTAGGTATGTGTAATTATTGGATTAATAAACATAACCCATCTGAATTTAGCAATCAACTAAGAGAGCCTCAAGGGTGTCATTCCTGTTTGTTCATTGGAAACAAATGAACACACACGCACGTACACACATTTATATTTGCATATCCTTAGCCGTAGGCACACATGAACTGCGTGATTTACTGCTTTCCATAAATGTCACCGACGTCACTGGCGGTTGTGTTTGACAAAGGTTGCCATAACTCGTATTTCGCCCAAATGCCACCTTCATGCACTGTTACAAAGCTTTGTTCCGCATAACGTTCTGCTAATCCCCGTGTCCTTCACCACAACCACATTTCACTCCCTCTCTGCATCACTCAGAAAGGAGTCCAATAACTCTGCCCAGCCTTGTCTTTGATTTGGACATTGTGATGCTGCGCAGGGATAAATGCAAACATCAAGGTCAGCCCTTCATTTGACAGCGACATTTAGTACTGGGGAAAATGTGAACGTTTTAGATGTTAGTTTGGTATCCAGTGAGTAATTTTACAGTTTGTCAATAATAGTCGAGCTCTGCACTTTTATTTCTGATCAAGGTTAAGCGTCGTTGTAGTAGATAGTATCTATGTTTGTTATCAGTGCAGCAAAAAAAAATAAAATAATGCTAAGAAAGGTATTTTACTGTGGCTAACTTAATTTTTTTTTTTTTTTTACACTTATATGACAATTTAAAAAAAGTGAGATATGGGAGACCTTCTTTCGGGCTTGACCTCATTAAGGTCCCAAGGGAGTTGGAGCATGTCCCAGTTGAATTTGGGTGAGATACACCCTGGACTGGTCACCAGCCAATCACGTGACACATACAACCATTCTCACGCACATTCACACCAATGGACAATGAACAAATCTAGTACAGCCAATGTTGACAAGTTATCAGGACAGAATGGGAAAACCGTTGGATGACATTAGAAACTTGGGCATTGTTTACCGAGCAGCACGTCCACCGTGTATTGGCTCGATGTCACTTTATCTGCTCCGAGCTGTCCCACGCACACGTAGCAGCCTTCAAACTCCTTGCTCGCATTGGCGATGATGACGCCTTGCTCGTGGTGGGTCCAGTAACTCATGGCGGAGGGCAAAGGTCCCCCGTCACACGTTTGCAAGGCTAGCAATGTCACGTCCGGGTTAGTCACCAGGCAGGGAATGGTGCAGTTCTCACCAGCGCGTACCAGGATGACGTTAACCATGGTACGCTGGAAGGCACTGACAGGGTCTGTAAAACGTGGAGAGTTCACGTCCGTGTTTTTGTTCAAAAATTGTAATTTGGCTCTCCATTTTTTTTTCTATCCAGAAGCAGGTAATCCGTCTTACTTTTATGCCATTTTTTTTCAAAACAACATTGGATTAGACCACCCTGATCCAGATACACCATTTTCAATATTTCACACTGTGGGCTACCAGCAATTCCAAAATCAACAGGTCGAAGAACCAACAGGAGGTCACTTTAAGTGTTTGTTTGTTTGTTTGTTTAGACAAAACACAAAAATAACAAACATCGACTTCTGTTTATGATTTCTTTTATGAACAGTCATCTGAGCCACATTGTGAATACTTTAAAGAAGTCTTAAATTGAAGAAAAGGCTCAATGTCAAATGATGTTGTTTCTTTGAAATTCGTGGGCAGTGATGAATGAAATTTGACAAATAGATTTTTTTTTGTTCTCAAAATCTGTCTGGGGGCTTGTTTCATGGGGAACAAGATAATTTGTATTTTTATGGGATTTTTACTTTACTATGCTAGGAGGCTTAATTGTTAGCCGATGTCTACTTCATCTACCACAGCAGCACTGTAACAATCTAACAAATGATGTACAAAAAATAAATAAAAGTACGTACACAAAATTGATTTATTGATCAAGTTTTGCTACATTTTCCCCCTTGAAATCCACATTGAAATCCTACCCTGTCGGGATCAGGATAATGCTGTTTTTTTTTGTTTGTTTTTAGAGTTATTCAGTTTCTACTGAATAGGTTTGAAGAAGACAAACTGAAAATTTGATATAGATTCAAACTAAGATTGCTTTAGATGATCTAATCCAATTTCAGAATTCTTGGAACAACAATTCACGACAGAAGTTATCTCAAGGAACTGGTCCGCTCGCGCACCCCTCCCTCCCCGCCGCCACCCACCTTTCACATATACGTAGATGGACGTGCTCTCTAGTGTGCTGTTATTGATGCACACGTAGCGACCCATGTGGTAGGCCAGCACTGCGGGCACCTTGACAACAGCCGCACCGCCCTCCTCCGCTTCCCCCTCCAGTCTGCGAGCGTTCTCCCTCTGCCACCTCAACCTGGATGTGGCGCCAGACGTTGTGGCATTGTCATGGCAATAGAGCTCCAGCCTCCCCCGCTTGGGAACGACTACATGAGGCCCACTGGGGGAGATGATGGGCTTGCACCACCCTGGAACAAAAGACAAAGAAGGAGTCTCAAAATGATGGACACAAGCTTTGGGACAAATGGCCATTACCCGTGTAAGATGTAAAAAAGGAAGAAAGTATGGGGTTCGGATTGATTACAGCTGCCGCTCTTCTGTGAAGTAATTCGACAAAATTTAGTCTCCGGGAATTTTTATTCGATTCATCCAGAATAACGGTGTGAATGTGATACCATTCCAAACTGTTCCGTGGCAAGCTTTGAACATTTCAATACTTCAGAACCTTCTGTTCTCCACAAGGAGTTGAACAGAAAAACTAAAAATACATTTTCAAGTTCTATTAGGAGGAGTGTTGAAATAATCTTCTTCAATCAACCTGTTCAGATTTTCACATCACGAGACCAAGACAACACTTTACAACAATTGAGCAATGATGCTTTGCCAATGCGAGGCTTCAGATGGGAAGTTCTCATAGCCAAGTGGCCACTAAGCTTAGAGTGTCACTGAATGTCATCAGAAGATACAGAGAGGAGAGATACAAAGAGAGACTGGAAAAGTCGCAGAAAGATATAGAAGTGGAGATCCTTGGAAGTATATCATTTTGTTGTTCAGCTCCTCGTTAGAGAACATTTCCTGCATCATATCTGAAGATCTCGTGCCACTCTTAAGAGCAATTTCTTCATATTTTTATCAATATAAGATAATGAGGCTATGTGGATTTAGTTTGTCATTGGTTTAGTTAATTGTCCCCATGAGGGATCAACTCCCATTCAATGCGGCGTTCACATTCCTCCTGTGACTGACTAGCTTTCACTCCAGGTGGTAGTCTGCCTTTGCCTCTAAAACAGCTAAGATATGCTTCAGTCCTTGCAAGGACTCGAAACCAGATATTGTAAGTGTTCCAGAAAATTGATGCATTGTTGTTCCTGGTGATTTGCGCTCAAAATGCCTTATCTTTAGGACAAATGCAATAAACTGATGACGAACTTAATACAGAAAAGCAAAAAAGAAAAAAATGCATTGAGCAGTGAGGTGCATAAGGGAAAGTGAAGAAAAAATGAGCTGTTTGTGAAAAAAAAAATCAACCCCCCCAATTGTTTGGGTTTTTATTTTTATATATATACATATAAAATCTGATTTTGTGCTCATTCCACCTGTCCCTGTCCTTTCTGTGCTATTTGTCTGCTCCGAGTTGCCCAGGAAGGAACATAGTATGTGGAGCTTTTAATTTGCCCAGCAACAAGGAGCCATGTGACATGATCAGGAAAAACAAACTGTGCAATTCTGTGATGTTGTCTGCGTGATGTCTTATATTGGAACTGGATAAAGATAATGAGAAGTAAAAGATAGCATATCAGAAAGTGGGAGAGAGTACTCTAGCTTTCTTGTTAAGTGGCCAAAGTTAATTCTGACGTGTTGCTTAAATGAACAAAGAGCCCAAGAGAACAAAGCAGAGTATAACTACAGGTCTTAATGTGGTGATTAAATAGTATGTTTTGATTGGCACATAGCCAATGCCATCTAACCAACAGTGCTCAGTAGAAAAATCAATAACTATGAGCTGTCTTTAGCTGAGTAATCATGACCTCGGGCCTCTCAGATAAATATATGCATCTAACATTTCCAGCTAAGTTTACCGCCAGAAAGAAGTTTTCTTTCTGTCCGTCGCTTGCATTTTGGGCACCTTTTCAAGAACAGGATGTGACTGTTGTGCCTTCAGGCCGAACCAACCCAAGCTCCAGAGGACCCAAACCGGCACCTCTCAGAAATGTCAACATCCACTTTTTTTTCAGGTGAAAAGCAAATATTTTGCCTTTTACAAAAGAGTAGTCAAAAGCTACGCCAAGATTCCACCGTGGCTTTGTTTGCGTTCAGAGACGTTTTGTGTGTTGAGATATTTGTTTGCTGTGCTCCGTGTAACTAAAGTATCATTTCGGTTTGGATGAATAATTGATTGGTTTTGTAACTGACAACACATACACACCTGTTGCCTGGCGGGAGAAGACGCAATCCGCCCACCCCCCATTCCTTCTTCTCCTCCTCCGTGGTGGTTATGCAAATTAGGACTGATACGATCTGTAAACCTGAGCTCACGGGTTGAGTTAAACTGCACCGTTAAACTCCAACAGATTCCCAGGAACAGTGTTTGTGGAGGAGGCAAACCAAAGACTGACTATGTCACATTTACAATGTTCCTGTACTCTGAATCAAAAGCATAAAAAAAAAGGTCCACAAATACAAGAGTACGTGTTGTGATGATATTTTGTTTTGCAAATCCATAATATTGCTCTACTATTACTCTATTTTCCGTATACTATATGGTTCAACTCAAGGGCCACGCTGCAGGTCATTTTATGTGGCCCATAAAAGCCTGAAACTAATGCGTGGGACATTAAATGCACAAAATGAGCACACTGACTTCCCAAGAGCTTTACGATTAGGCGATTTTTATTTACTTGTGTTTCTTGTTAGCTTGCAAGAAGTGTGCAAAAATGACTTTGTTTCCAGGAAACTTTCTGGAAGGGTGGGGCATGGGACCAAGAAGAAGCTTTTAATATGGGTGGTTATTTTGGTGAGTATCCAGATAAACGTCAGAGCTATTTTTTTCACTTTCCCTCAATTTCACAAGAAACAATGGCTTAGTCTCAAGGACACCTTTCTGGGATATGGAAGAAAGCGGGCATCCATCAGGTTTATATTTGAATCCAAATGTATTTATCATTTGGCCATTTATCAAAAAATGTTGTTCTTGATCTTATAGGTCAAGTCCAAGTAATCACCAAATAAGTGAATGGTAAATAAGGCTTTTTAGCAGCAGGTGCGTTTCCTACCTGTCAGTGGTAGGAAAATCAAATGTGATGCAAAAACAATCCACAGGCATGTCATGCTGAAGTTTTCCATCTTGGCTTTTCTACTCCATGTGTTTCACGACATCCTGCACGATCCCAATAAAGCTCCAAACTGGATCCAACGTGGCCAGAACAGATCTACTCTAATGGAAGAGCTCTCTGGGATGGATACAGCGGCTATTAAAGCCTCTCCTCCTCGCTGACTCTCCTCCCTCACTTGGCGCGCCTCCTCCTCCCTGTCCCATTGGCTGGAGGCGCGCCAAAAGTGATGAGAGGCGCATTACTGGAAATTTTGTTGACAATTTCCAGCCCGTACACATTATTATAGAAGGAATAAGCAAGAACTGGCCCAACTGTTTTGTGTTGTGCTAATTTGTTTTGATGACTTCAAATGTGACTGCCTCTTCTCACACTTGAGTGCTGCCTGCTGTGATGAGAGCTGAGAGCTCACTCTGTTGCCGATGGAGGCACTTTTTGTCTTTACAAAGTACAAAGAGAACAATGTTCAGTTTTGGCGTTCACTTAATAAAAAGCTTATGGGGATTAAATGTGGGTGCCAAAATATTTAGAAACGGCCTAGAAGCAAGCATTTGATTACCTTATTTTGTTTTGGACTCTTTAGGTTATTAATTTAGTTGACACTAAGAAATGACAAGGCTTTGGAAATGTCAGCTCGCATTAGAAATTTGTTTTCCATGTGACCGTTTGTATTTGTTTCCTTAGGGTAAAGGTTGTCTCTATACTTTTACTGCAGCACACTTGCATAACATAATGAGATCCAGTACAGGAGCTTTTGGACGAACAGCGCTGAAGAAGATAAGGATACTCACTTTAAATGGTTTTGAGAAGTATTAACAGTAACAAAAACAGCAGCAATTAAAAAAAAAAAAAGCAGCTCTGACCATGTCCGTTCCAATTACGTTTTATTCCACAGAATTTGGGGGTACAGCAAAGGAAGTTTTTGTTTTTAATGGCACCGCCATTGAATTCCTCTGCTGATTTAATAGCAGTTGTGGTCAGTCAAACATTTATGTATTTTTTTTTTCTTTGGATCCCTGAATTTTGCTTTTGTTTTTCATTTGAAACATAACCAACACGAATATTTGATCTTCATTTGCCGTTTCATTGGACAGTGCACGACTGTATAAGCCTTCTTGCCTTCAGCTCATCAACTCTTTTTGGATTCAAAGAAAGGAATTGTGCAAAATTTTTGACTTACGCAGGAAGCTGCCCCACTTTTTTCCTCCTGCGTATTGTCATGTGTCTTTACTGCAAGACCTGAGAAAAAAATAATGAATGCACGTAAGAGGCCAATGGCATGTGGAGCCTCTTGTTGCGTGTGTTAATCACCAAGCTAACATCAGTCTCTTGGGCAAAATGAGCTTTTATCGGTATGCCGAGCCTCCCGGCTATGGCATAGAATAGGCACTCTATCCTGAGGTTGCTCCAGAGAAACATGTGAGTGGATAGTGGGGCTGCTGTTTTTTTTTCTCTTTCTTAAGCACATGATAAAATCCTCAATGCATCACACCCCATGGCTGTTTGTGCCCTTTTGAGCTCATGACAGGAGTCTAAAAAGCACAAAAATATACATACCATTTATTTTTATTTTGTGGCTTTTTGGTCACTATGATGACACATTTCATGTTTATGGTCACGTTATTTTATTTCCTGTGAAACGACTCAATCCAGTTTAATGAAGTGGATCGATTAAATTTTCTTTATGTATCTGCTCCATTGCTGTGATGACTTCCCCCCCCCCCAGTACTTCTGCCAAATTGACAGTTTGGTGTGGGCAGGGTAGCGATGGGATTATGGTCATATAATCTAACACAAGGTGAGCGGCTGGCAGGGGGTTGGGGGGGGGTGAACAAGGTCAAAGTGGACACTTTAGCAGAATCTATGACTACTGAAGATGCAGTTCCCATTTCACATGTACTGTATACATCCGTCAATCTGTGTCAGTCATTGCCACGGTGACACTGAATAACCCATCTGAGTCACTTGTCATCTTGTGTTAGCGTTAGCGTCCAGGCTAATCCAACTCTCCAGAGTTGTTTGCGGTGCTTGGCGTACACTGAAGTGCTCAGGAAAAGTTTCGAAAGACGTACTTTTGATTGAGATTAGGTCGATATTTTGCTGTTCAACACAAATAGTAAGTTGTCTGGAGTGTCTGGCCGCCTAAAATATTTTATCTGCCTATTTCTGAAAATGTGTCTGTGAGCCATTTTGGAGTCCCACCCCACTGTGATGTAACAGTGTGGCACATTTACAGAACGACAGCAGCCCTCATTGCATTTCTAGACGTGTGGTTGCACAGGCTTTATACGCTATAACAAGGGTGTCAAACTCAGTTTTGTCATGGACCACTTTGGAGTTACATCTTCCCTCGGAGGGCCGTTACGACAGTGAAACCAAATACATGTTTAATCATCACATCGTATTATTACTTGCACAAAAAAAAAAGAAAAGACAGATTACTAGTTTTCTATTACTAGTCAACTATTTGTTTCTTTGTTGAATTATTATAGTAAGTGGAAACCAGGTCACAAAATTATTTCAAAATGTCACCGTTATTTATTACATATGACAAATTGAGATTTCGGTACAGATTTAAGCAAGGATCATGGAAGCTGACAAAGATGATTTGCTTTCGTGGGCCACATCAAATGACCTGGTGGGCCAGATCTGGCCCCCGGGCCTTGACTTTGACACCTGTACACTATAACACGGCCAAAACATGTTATAATTCTGCCACTGAGCCTTTTCATTATTAATTAAAAATCCATCCATCCAGGACTTCAGGCTCACAAATCCCACAATGCCAGCAGAGACCTCCTAATAAAAATGATGATGAATTGACTCTTTTTTTAAATACCCTATTTTACATAATGGTTTGCCACTAAACCCTTTGTCATTGTCCAGCTGGAAAGCATCTGCTTAGTGATATGCATCCAAACAAAAGGAAAGGTGTCAAAATACAACACATCTGAGCTGAGCATATGTCTTGTGTCTCTGGGTGGATGACACTGCATATTGTTCTTCATGACGACCGTCCACATGCGGCGTCCATTTCCACTGAGTTCACATGTCACTCAAGCGGTTTATTTGCCTTCGCCTATTTCATTATTTATAAGTGAGGTAAACGTCTATACCAGATCTGGGCTGAGTCACTCTGACTTAGCGGGCATGTGTGTGTGTGCGTGCGCGCGTGTGTGTGTGTGTGTGTGTGTGTGTGTGTGTGTGTGTGTGAGTGTGTGTCTGTGCGTGCGTGCGTGCGTGGCGTGTGTGCGTGCGTGTGTGTGTGTGTGAGTCACTCAGTGCTTTTAGACAGATGAGGACGGCAGCTTCGTGGAGGACAGCAGAGGTTTTATACTAGAAAAATCACCACTTCGATTAGATTACGTCATGGCAAACATTCCTCTCCAGATGCCCGGCCCTGTCTCTTACTCCCTTTCACCTTCCTCTCTCCTCTGTCTCCCGTTTCTTCTGCCAATATGACACACACACACACACACACACACACACACACACACACACACACACACACACACACACACACACACACACACACACGCAAACTCAATCACCTACAAATGGAGTTCACACCCTCGGGCGGCCACATGGAGTCTGCCAGAAAAACACACACATTAAAAAATAAATAAATAAAAAAATCATACCTCATGGCATTATGTTTCACTGACTAGCCAAGCTTTTATTACAATGCAATCCAATGCTCTCCCATCTCGACGTGATCTCTCCATCTTCTTCTGCTTGGATACAGTGGGATGTTGCTGTCTTTATTTATCGTTCCGGACCCTGTGGTTGTTAAGAGTCACTTTATGGTTGAATTGTGGTGTTTTATGCCCCTGTTATGACCCACTTAATAGACTGTACAAAGAGGAGCACAGGGTCAAAAAAAGTAGATTATACTGTCGTTTTGCACTGGCCGGTAGAAAAGAATCTCTTTAGTCGCCGGAGGTCATCTAAACAAGGAATTTCAATTTTGACGAAAAACATTTTGCCATGAAAGTTGCTTATAACTTCTGCTGCCTTCCATGACACCACACGTGATTTTTATGATGGCATGATAAATTGCAGACAGATTGTTTCTACACTCCTGGCAAAAAAAAAATATACATTCACCAGTCTTGGAGGATGTTGATTCATTTGTGTAATTTTGTCGAAAAATGCAGATGACAGAAATGACACATCCATCTGTCTGCCTGTCTGTCCAATGATGACATTACATTATTAGAGAGGCAGCTACTGTATATTTGAGGTTCTGCAGTCCAGTAAAAGTGCTCTAATGGATTAGAAATTCCACTGCGTTTCATATTGAATATCTTAATTGTACATTAGGAACATGTTCATTTGTCTAAACACATTTTGAGCAGGAAACAAGATGGCACTAATCAGCTCAACAGATGGACAACAGTGTAAGACAAAAAGAGAAGCTGCCATGTTAAAACCACAGTGTTGAGATAACCATCTGTGTAATCCAGGGATATGATGTGAATTGACAACGTGCCAGGCAGGCCCGCACGTATATGAGTAAGCTATTATCAGCGTGTATAATTATACTGATAGCCCCGTGATCGTTCTCGGTCAAAATAAACATGATTAGCATCGATTTGTCTGTAAACCGCCCTAAAAACAGCGTAAAGCGAGTGAGAGCGGTCAGGCAGGGACTGAGAGGAGGGCTCCTGATGTACAGCGACTCTGGAGAAAGCAATGCAAAGATGGGGAAGGAGTACCGGGAGGAAACGCGAGAGGAAGATGGTAAGAAAGTGATGTTTTATTGAAAAATTAATCATGACAGTTGTTGGTGTCTGTCAAACCAGGGGTTGGTTTGGCTTAATTCTTGGGCCCAGGAAACATTTTTTTTGTCTTTCTGTGCCTATAGGTAGGTTTGATTGTCACTGTACATTACACTGTCAGGTTTGTTTGTTTTGTTTTCAGCCCCAGCTGGAGTGAAGGGCGTGTCCCTCCAGCAGGCCCACCTGTTCCACGTTTACCAATCAAGCCTGCCATGTATTTAAGGACTGTCAAGCGGCCTCGTCTCTTATCGGGTAATTGACCTTACTCGCTGTATTGCCTTAAGTGTTATTTTCTCGACCTTTTTGCTCAGGTTCATAGTCGCTTTTGTCCGTTTAGATTCCGCTTTTGTAAGTATTTTTGTTATAG